CTTTTGAAACTATACTCAACTATTCCTAGCAAATGGAAAATCAAGACAGACAAAGACAACAATGAATTTATCTTGAAGTCATTTTTGAATATGTTTAATACATTTACTTTTAACTTTTTTGTCATTTGCATTCATACGTTTTTTAATGTTGAACACAAAGGTTTAAACTTGGTTGGAGTAGGCTATAAACATAAAAACTTTCTTTTAGGTTTAACACTTTAACTGAAACATAATTGAAACACTGAGAAATGCACTCAAAGATCTCTTTTTTAACTTTTAGTACGATGGGTTTTATTTTATGGTGCATTTATTATGGATGTCATTTATTATTTTTTCGACAAATTTTGTGACAAATATTTTTTCCAAAGTTAAAAACGAGTGGGAACGATGACAAGAGACCACTCTTTGCCTGAGCTCAAACGGACCAATCCGGAGCGGGCTCACAGATCGCGCATGCGCACAAACGTCTTCTCCTCATCAAAACATCAAACACAACCACAGCAGGAGCAGCCAGGCGAGGGGAGGGCAGTGGTTATTTAAGCGTACATTTCTTCCAACAAAAGTCGACGTAAGTTCATTAAAGTATTACCTAAACATCGATAGTGGTTATCACAGAGGAAGTAACCTATGTTTGGTGTTAATGAAGCTGTTCGCGGCCTCCTGAGCAGGTCTAAAAACATGCTAACAGGCTCTGTCCAGGCAGCTCCACACCAAACACAAGTTAGCTTCCAGAGCCGCGTGACCTGTCGCCTGACTCCCTGCCGTTCACCCTGTTTGACCGGCGGGAATGTGTCGGTTTTACACAGAAAAGTGCCATTTATAACATGCTGGCGTGTATAGTTAGTTGACCCCACCTTAAGTTATGATAAAGTCACTTTATCAAAGTAACGCTAGATGTCAAAGTTTGACTTGTAGTTATAATGCAAACGTTTTGTTTCTATTTGTCAGCTGACTAAACAAAATGATAGAGTAGAAAAGTTTAATTTTTGCTTTCACGTTTTCATTGTGAAGAGCTCTTGAAGAAGTATGGCTGCTGCTGCTGCTGTTGCTGCTTCATCTACAAGAAACAGCCTGAGAGAGGACCTGACCTGTGCCATCTGCTGCGACCTGTTCAGAGATCCGGTCATGCTGCCCTGCATGCACCATTTCTGCAAGTCCTGCATCTCCAGGTACTGCAGGGGAACCCGGGGGCCTGTCGCCTGCCCACACTGCCGCAAGGAGTTCAGCCCCATGCAGTTTCAAACCAACTACCTCGTGGCAGGAGTGGTGGAGAAGGTCCGAGCCTCCTCCTCAGACGCTTACGTCAAGAAACTGGAGGCGAGTTTACTCACTGTTTGCACTTTTTGCCTCCGTTGTGTGTTTTAGCATTGTTATTCTGGCTATTAATTTATCAGGAAAGTAATATATCTTAGACAAACAATCCTGCTCTCCAAAGTAAACCAATCAATTACTGATGAGCAGCTTTTTGTCTTTACTTTTGAGTTGTCAAAGCTCACTGCAGCTGTTTTTTCCATGTGTCAGTCCACATTGCGCTTTTGTCACTTCAGCACCACCCTTGACAAATCCTGCTGCACTTGTTCAAGCCAAAGTTCATTTTCCACTCTCTTTCATAACACTGAGATAAGACAGATCAATACAATGCTCTACAGTCAGTGGGCCTCAGTCCTGGTCTTTGACGGCCACTATCCTGCATGTTTTAGTTGTTTCCCTGCTTTTCAGCCGGTCTTCAAGTTCTGCAGAAGCCTGTTAATCACTTTTATTGAAATCAGGTGTGTTGAAACTGAGAAATTTCTAAAACAGGGGTTCCCAAACGTTTGGATCCTCAAACAGCATTAGCTTCCAGCCGGGGTCCCCCTTGCAAACCCTACAAACAATGCTATAAAATATTTAATGAAACATCAACTTTTAGAATGTTTTTTAGTCACTTTTCAATAAGAATTACATTTGTTTAGCATAGGAATTTTATTAACTAACATTTATTTAAACACTAAGTAAGTAAGTACCGTATTTTTCGGACTATAAGCCGCACCCGCCATTTTTTWAAAAAAACCCTCGAACATTAACACATAAGCCGCACCGGACTATAAGCCACACCC